CACACACACACACACACACACACACACACACACACACACACACACACGTGCTCAAGGTGTAAGATAGAAACCAGTGAAAGATTTACATCTAACCTCCGCAGATCTCCTTGTACACTCCAGATAAGGTCTGGTGATGCACAATACATGATACATACTGCTGAGGGAGTGCCCATAGAAAAAGCCCACAGATGTTGAGTACAATCCAAGGTCAGCTGGATGCTTCGGATACAGAGGGCTGGCTGTAACTAAGTCCCTGCTAAGGGGATGGGCAGGTTTGCTACATTTTGGGGTCTGAGCAAGAATTTCACAAGGATGTTTTTGATAAGAGACTGGAGGTGACATAGCTAGGTATTTAAAAGAAGAGCCTGGCATAAGTGGGTCTCTAGTTACAACTCAGGGCATTTTCTTTGCATTTGTCATGTTCAATCGGCCCATCAATTAACTGGTAAAGATGGAGAAGATGAAGGAGAGATGGCTGGAGGGGCATTAAGATTCCTTCAGTGTATTGATATTCAACACAATACAATGAAGTCACAAACAGTGGCTTTTGATACTTATTTTCTACTCTGGAAAAATACAAATACTGACTGACAATATTACAGCAAGTTTGTCCTGTGTTACCAGATGGTGCCTCAACATTACTCCCGAGGGAATCATCATTCCAGGGACAGCTCCAACATCACAAGTCTAGATCTGAAGGAAATCCGTTTCTATCTGCGACAGATAAACTATCTCTAGCTGGTGGCATCCCTTGATTTAGATGACCCAACAGAGTTAACTTCCAGGAGATTTAAACGTATTTTGTATATACTAAGAGACTTTGGTAAATGTCTCCTCCCTGGGCACAGAAGGAACACAGACTTTGTAAAGACAGTTAGCGTGTGACTAGAAAGGCATGGCTGTCAAAACTGGGAGTGTCTGAGTGGGAGCCTGATCGATCTCCTGACCTCCAAGTGTGATCGTTCGAGGAGTTACCATCCACCTGGAAACCCCAAACGTCACCAAGAGAGATGTGCGCCCACTGCAAGGGAACAGGCTCTCCCTCCAGAGCCCACCCAGTGTCTTGCTGACAAAGAAGCTGTCATTGGTAGTCTATAAGGAGACGGGGGACACCCAGTGTTGGGGCAACAGTGCTTGTACGAAAACATTCTCGACAGCTGCAGCTACCAGGTCGCTTTGCGGACTGATCGAGATGAAGGATGTACAAGTGTGGAGAAAACACTAAAGCTGGGACTTGGTCATGTGAGAGTGACAGGCAAGGGCTCCCTCGAATTAGAAAACACACTGTGTTGTGACGAACCAGGGCACTGTGACCTTCAAAGTCTGTGAGGTCATCTTATTAATAACTCAAGCTCTATTAATTCGGCTCCAGAAGTCAGTGTTTTTGTTGCTTTGAATTATGGTGAACAAATGACGTCTCTTCTACTCCCGTAGTATATGTTAAAACCTGTAAGATGAAATCCAATAGTGCTGGGGAAATAAGTCCTTTAATCATACCTGATTAAACACCCTCCTCTCTTTTGCTATGTGTCACTTGGATTAGCAGAATAGGGGTGTGTCTGTGTGAAAATGGGGCTCATATGTATTCCACAAAGCTCGAGGAGAATAGGAACAGCTCAACATACGTGATGATTCACTGAAGACAATTTCTCTCTCTCTCTCAGTGTGTGTGTGTGTGTGTGTGTACAGAAATTGCCCAATAACAATCAATGACTATTATGGCCTGAACACACTTCCTGCTATGATTTCTGTTCATGATCTGCTAATAGAAGATACTTGTGGCCTTTCTTGCCTTTTTGCTCATTTCTTTGCCTTAATGATTAGATGGTGATTTAAAAACGTCCAAGGGGCTGTGAATGGACCTCAGTGGTCCATCCCTTGGTAGCATGTGCAATGCTGTGGGTTCAGTTCCCAGAATGGCAGTAAATCAATAAACCATAAAACTAAAAGGAGTGCCTAAGAAACAGAGAACTTCGCTTGACGGAGTTTGCAGTCAAAGTTGAGGAAGCAACACAGAGTTAAGTAGAAAGGGGGAAGGGCCCGGAAGCAGAGGAGAAGCACTGAGAAGCAACCAGGAGCTACTCTAGACTAGCTAACAGAGACCCCAGTGCCAGGCAGGGACTATTGGCCAGGAGCCCAGGAAGGAGACCTCTAACACAGCACAGGCTATTGCCATTCCCTCTGTTTAATTGGCGTTACCCTCCACAGGAAATGATGTTTCACCCGGAAGTCACAGGCTGCCAAAAGTTCAATTCTAGCTATGGGATACTTCTCCTTTAGTTGTTGATCAGGGGTGTCCCAGAGATTCACGCCCCTCCCATAAAAAAACAAAACAAAACAATAAAAGCTATTGCCACTACTCTCGCTTACCCACCAGTACTTGATGTGGTAAACATGCCACTGCTAAATGTCATAGGTTCTGGCCACAGGGCTTGAAGAAAGCAAGGTGGTACTGACAGAACACTTACTTCCTGCAGGCTAGATCTCCCAGTACCGTAAGGTTCTGTGCGGGCTGCTGGGGAGGGGCTGGCTGGGGTCACCAACAGTCTTACTCAGCTGTGAACCCTGGGAGCTATAATAATAACTGACGTGACAAGATATGCTCAGGGGTTCGAGAGCGGATTGACTCCGGTTAAACTCGTGAACTCACAGCACGTTATGCCCATTTTCAGACCCTGTAGATAGCAGGCATGGTGAATGCTTCCAGTCCCTGCCTTTTCAAACAGATGGAGTAATGTGGGCTAAAAAAAAAGGCGAAGAAGGCCAATTTAAGTAATTTTACAATTTGATCTGGGAAGTGGCTTGCCTTGTATGATGATTTCGCTGAGATGGAGAATACTTTTTACACAGCTATACAGGAATCTGTTTACACATGAAGTTTCCCGTGAGAGAATCATGCTGGAGTAGTCAGGTCTGTGTCAGCGATGGGCACTTGACAGGACTTGCTTCTCTGTGACCTGTTTCAGCAGGGAAGTCTATGAATGACTATTTCCCTGTGTCATTTGCCTCTTTGAGTGTCACTGGCACCAGTCCCTTGTCTAGGGAAAGTAGACTGATAGTGGGTCCTTCTCCCATCCTTCATTCCTTGCCAGTAGCTCCCATTGAGGGTACTCAGACGGAACCCAGGGCATGCCAGCTTAGGGCCACACAGCACAAAAAAAGATGGGACCAGTGGCTAATAATGACAGTGCTTCCTAGATGGGTGGAACATACATGCATGAGAGGATGGATAGCTGAAATTGTGACAAAATGGCGAATTGCCTGTAGTATCAATTTCTTTTCTCTGTAAGTACTAAAAATTCCTTCCCTTTGTGACAACAACTTCTAAGAAAAACCAAAGAGGATTTTATGGCACTTATTTTAAAAATACCATCAGTGCTGCTTTACTGATATAAATTTTGAGTTTTTAGTTTCTTCCTCTCCTACTTAAGAGAAAGAGTATTGCTCAGCCATGGTGGCACACACCTTCAGTCTAACCACTCAGGAAGTAGAGGCAGTCAGATCTCCCTGAATTCAAGGTCAGCCTGGTGTACAGAATGAGTTCGAGCTGGAGCTATGTAGAGAAACCCTGTGTCAAAAAACAAAACAAAACAAAACAAAAAAAAAAAAAAAGGAAGAAGCGTATTGAAAACAGACCACACATGACCTTAGGGGGTCAGCAGGTGAGATGTAAGCCTTAGGGAAGAGAAGGGAGGGATTTTGTTCAGCTCCCTGTTTGAGGTACCCAGTGGATGTTTTTAAACCTTATAAATGACATAATTACTAAGTGGCTAGGTTGATCAGCCCATTTTGTTCTCGGCGTTTAAAAAGTGTATGCAAGATGGAAGGCATGAAGTCAAGTCAACGTGTTCAGAACGTCAGCCATGCACTAATGAGCCCAGGGCGAGCTGTTCTCATTTCCCGCTCCTCCTGACCACCAAAGAGACGCCCACGGGAGCTGTACCTGTGTGTGTTCTCCGGTGTGCCTTCAGGTGAGAACTTTTTGTGTAGACTTTGTTGCACCCTTCGAAGTCACATCTGTGGATGCGCCTCTTCCTGGAGTCCGGGGATTCTGATCGTCTCTGGCGTCTTGTGCTCTCAATGCTAAATGGTGAGATTGAACTGAAAAAGAAAGGTAGAGGGACATGGTGAGAAGCACAGCCCTTCCCCTGGGGCCCCAGCAGGCTGAGAGTCTGGTCTCGGCTCTGCAGCCTCAGGAGTCTCTTAGATGTTTCTCAACGGCTAGAGACAGCAGTGTGGCTATTCTTGGTTAGAGAGTTCCAGGGAAAGAGAAACAATGCTTACAACAAGCTAGCCACAGAGACACCCGCATATAATCTCAGCATTCAAGCAGCTGAGGCAGGAGGAGCCAGAGCTGGAGGCCAGCCTGGTCTACATAAGACCTGTTTCTAAAGTCCCAAACCCACCAAGCCAATCTAATGCAGCAAACCCAAACTAAAACCAAGCAAATCTCCCTTGTCAGTACTAAATTAACAGCTCAGTTCTGCCTGTCTAAATAGTCTTTCTAGAGAATGTTTTAGGAAGCCCTGATCTAGACAGCGTCAGCACAAACATATTTAGTAAGAGGGGCGTCTGAGCTGCATGCGGCATTAAACGACCATGCAAAATCACAGTGCACATCTCAAAACAACTGAGGTCAGGGCGAAAGAATTGGCACCAGCACATCAACATGGTGAGTCATGACCAGCAATTTCTGTGCAGAGGGACGCATTTGATATTTAACTTTCCTACTTGGTGTTTTCTTGTGGTGAGGAATAGAGTGCATTGTCTTTAAAGATTAGCTGTACTACTATTATGAGAAAAAAAGAAATAAGACTTTAACTACAAAGTTTGGCCCAGACTTGTGTGTTGTTTCATTTTAATGCCCAGTAGAAAAACAGGATTAGTTTGTAATGTCAGGTAATTCATTTATATGTACCTTTTTCAAACCTTAATCTCTTTTGATTGAGACAGAAAGAACATGAGTCATCTTTGTATTAGCTACCCATGAAGTTCTCCAAAAATCATAATGAAATACAATAAAGAGACAATCACCCTTGTTGCTATAAGACACATTTACCATGACTGACATTTTGTCCACCCCCACCCCGGTTTGACGTTTTTGTTTTGAGATGTCTTTATGTGTTCATAGTTATTTATTCTACGTATTTTTCAACATCAAAATTAATATTTGGGGGGGCGGCGAATCGGAGAAGTGAGACAGCTTGGCAGGTAAAGGTGCTACAGGAGCACTTGTGAACCTACTCATGTATGTTTCCTCCATGATAATGCCATGGCACAGGCATATGCACTTAAACACAGACATCACCCCTTGCGCAGAGTAAATGCCGAGAGAGAGAGAGAGAGAGAGAGAGAGAGAGAGAGAGAGTACTTTGCTAAACAAATCAGCCCTTTTAAAAGCTGAGCACAAAGCTAAAGATGCTCCTATGTTCTTGTACCATCGTCTTGATCCTTTCTCCTCCTTCCCGGGAAAAGCCGCTGACAGTTTCCTTTAGATCTTTCCAATTAAAACTGTTATGTATCCACTGTCCATGGCACTGCGTTACATAGGTCTCCTTACATGCTGATGGCCAGAACGTCTCCTCCTCTGTACCCACCTCCTCTCTCAAGAGTCACCCTCCTCCTGTTAGTGCCCTCTGTTCCCCTACACAGCTTCATACCTACTTTCATGTCATATATGTTTAAATACGCTGCTATATGTATAGATCTGCAATCATAGAAATTTATAATATTACTGTGGGTTTTTAAAACATCAAAAGTAATGCTATGCCAATGACATAATTTTGTTATGGATCATTATAGGTAGCTGGCATTGTTTTTCTTTTTAGTGGCACATGAAGTAATTGCAATCTTTACAATGGCTATTTCAACTTTGAGAAAGGATTGGTTAACTTTTTCTGCAAAGGATTAGATAGAAACTCCTTTATTTCAAAGTGAAGGATCATGGAGTCTTATACTGTAATTAATAAATTCTAAAAGTCTACCGTGAAAGCAGGTATAGACCATATGATAGCAAAGGTGCACAGTTCCAATAAAGTTTTATTTACAAAAATAAAATAGTGTAACTACCCACAGGTCATAGTCTGCTGACCCCTCAATTGTGAATTATAGTAGTGGTCCAATAAACATTCATCCTTGTACTTTAAAACTGCATCTCTTCAGTGACAAACAGGGACTGTTTCTGATACCAAACTATTCCATAACTCCAGACAACTGTTTTCCAACATCTCCTTCTAGCATGTTCATGTTTATTTTTTGAAGTATATTTTCTTGTCTACAAATAGCAGATTAGTGAGCCAAAGCTTCAGAGTAGTTAAGATGAAAAATAAATTCTGTTTATCAAGCCTCAAACAGTTTGATTCGACATGTACACTAGAGTAAAAGAACACAGGCTGTGCTTCTGGCAAGGCCACTTTTTAAAGCCTTCGTTATCAATCAACGTGGCTTTGTGGTTTTCCACGCCATTGATTCAGTTGCTGGGACAGGAGTCTATTGTGAAAAGAGTCAAAACAACATGAAAGAACAGCTTCAGTCCGTCCTCGGAGTGATTCCAGCATTTAGTGGGATTCCTGTGAACAAGAAAGACTGTGTGTGCCACGATACGGTGTAAGCCATTCATTTCTTGAGTATGTGACCAGGAAAATAAATATAGAATTTGGATCTAGGAGCATTATAAAAGCAAGTCCTCTGTAGTGTTGTGTGTTGTTTGACATCTTTCACAAATTGAGACAATGGTAGTGTTTGTTTCCATTAAGTTAAAATTTAAGGTCTATAACAAGGACACAGTTTTGTAAAATATTTCCTACACATTAACATATAGAATTTTAATGTCACCCCACACAGACCCAGACACAGCTTTTGCCTGTGGTTGACTTTAGCCAGTTATCTTGCTAAGAATTTGTGTATACGATGAGAAGTAAGAATAAGTCTGAAACCAGCCCAGCTTAGAAATGTTCTTTAAGGGGCCAGTGAAACATGTCTGTGACAGAATCCACACCAGTTACCTGTATGGCAGGCACAGAAGACAAGCAGAGGCTGTAAAGCTGGAAGAAACCACTTTACAGAGTTTTGACTTTAATCAGGGAAAAAGGCGTATTAAGTGGACATCCTTCCCGCTCAGCCTTTAGTCTCTGGTTTTCTCCATTCTGATGCATAATATTTTTAAATGTTACGAAGAACTGCCATGTAAAGGAATATGTACAACAAAAATAAACTGTTAAGTGCCTTTTGAAGGTGCGTGCGTGAGAAGTGGAATGTTGTAAGGCTGGTTCTGAGGGATGGATGGTTCCCTTTGTCCTTACTAGCCTGGTTTCAAGAGCACAGGCTTTGTCAGCTGATGGAGAGGAAGTACCCTTTGAGCTGACCCTTTCAGAGCTACCTACTGGATCTCTCTGCAGAAAGGTAGAGGGATTGTGGTCCAAGAGGTCCAAGCATGAAGTGGACCTTAAAAAAACGCACCAAGATCCTAGGCCAACCCAGTGCTATGTAGGACGGCTGCTGCCCGGAAGCCAGAGTGTAACCCAGCTGGCAGGCACTGGAGGTGGACTTTAACAGGGAATTAGCTGGGCCAGCTCCATGACCAAGTTCAGTACCACGCTGTCAAGGTACTGGTACCTAGTAATTTTACTTTTTTACAGCCTTGGATGTTATGGGTATTTAAGAAATATGTCATAATTTCACTTATAATTTTGAGTTGAATAATTAATCCTCCTCTGATTGTTAGATTCTTGAGTCTTCAGAGGACAGACACTCCATTCTCACTCCTCTGCCCCCCCCCTTTTTTTTTTCCATCAAGCCTCGTCTTTTTAAATGGGACTGGATTTCAGGGATTCAGGGTTAACGACCCACAAAACACATGCATGTAAAGGTCACTGTATTTGCAGCAGTTCAGGAGCCTGGCGTTCTAGAACATGGCGTGTCCACAGTGATGCCTGTGTAGGCGGCTGCTGAGTGAAAAACATCCTCTCTTGCAGGCATCCAGGTAAGTAGGAAGGCACGGGGTCTCACGATGGGGCTTCTCATGAGCACGGGTGTCTGCAACCCAAAGGCTATCAATATCCTCTGAGTGTTTCTACTCTACCCTTCATGACCATGCTTTCAGAGCAATGTGCCCTCTGGTGAGATGGCGCCGAGGATGCAAGCCGACTTGGTGCCTCACAGATCGGATTTGTAAAAGAACGTACATGTGTGAGTGAGGGCTACACTGCAGGCACGAGGTCATTTCGACGATGTTAGTAATAGGTTCTGTATGTTCAGAATTGCCGAGATAAGGCTGTTGGTGCTGTGTTTTCAAATTCTGATGTGCTAAATCCATCAGAAGGGCGGTGGCTGCAGCTGGCCAGATGCCCAGTGGGCAAAGACAGATGTTGTGCAATCATAGAGACCTAAGTTCAATCCCTGGCACAAACTTAAAGGTTGAAGGAGAGAACCAACTCCACAAAGTTGTCTTCTGACTTCCTAATATGTGCTGTGGCATGTGAATGAACCCATTATACATATTCACGTGCACACATACGCATACCATACACACTCATGCCACCACCACCGTTATCCTCAATAACAGTGATAGACAGATAAATAGGTAGGTAGGTAGATAGATAGATAATAGATACAATTTAAACCAGTAACTTCATCTGCCCTCTATTTTCCAGAAGGCCAGCCAGCTCAGGGCAGTTGATACATGCCTGAGGAGCTTCCAAGGCCCCCGTAGTAATTTTTAGATCCCGAGAGAACAAATAAACAAATCATGGCTTCAGCAGTGGCACAATAAGGCTTGGAGTGGCAAGTTAAATTAGAATTAAATCCAGAGAGGCTAGGAAAGTCACACCCAGAAACAGCTCCATTTAAACAGAAGGCAGTTCATGGCTGCCATTAAAAAAGACCAGGGTTAACTGTAATCAGCAGGTAATAAATGACCTTTTGTCACGGGTGACCTCGGTGTGATGAGATGCCCTCTATTGAAACTGGAGCTCCTAAAAGAGTGAAAGCTAGAAAGGAAAGAAGAAAGGAAGGAAACAAAACAGAATAAAAGGCCAGGATATCCTTTCAAGGCTAAGAAGTCACACATATCAAAACATGAAAACTGGAATTGACAGTATTCA